ACGAATTACTAACAGCCAAAAAATTAGAATAAAGAAATTAAAAACAAAAATAAATGAAATTTTTTTTTAAATAATTGAACTCTTGAAGTAAAAAACAAAATAAAGAGCTTTGTAAAAACACTACCCCCAGTTGTTAAGTATGCACATAGTTCATTTTCAGAGAGAGTAGTTTGCTTGAGAAATTTTAAACGGTACGGAGACAAAATAGGAATAAACTATGTCCTCGACTTCTCTTAATTTACATAAGGGACATAGTTAACAGTGATTCGATGAAAAGGTTTATAATTTAAAGGTAAACTTTCCCTTCTGGCTTTTAAAATCAACTTAACATCATCAAAAGATCTATCTTTGATATAGTTTAATTGTAATTCAATTTTGGATAAATTTTATTATACCGCCCTTGTCTGGCTTTTAATTCTGCATTTCTTGTTTCATCTATTTCTAACTTAATAATTAACTTTTCTAAATTGGATTTCCAAGCTTCTACCTAATTATCATTGAAATATCCTAAGTGTGTGTCGTACCTTCTACATAAGATTTTCCCGTGTTCAAACAACAGATTATTTTTCGGAATAATTTCAATTTTCAAATTACGAAATAAATTCAAATCAATAATTTTGGGCAATTTACAGTCTGATAGTCTTAATAACATTAATGTGTATTTAATATGTCATTTAAATGTATACACATCCATACTGGGGATTCCTAATTGTATACATATTTTATAATTTGTTGTCTTCATAGACCGTTGAAATAATTGTTTAAAGAAAAATCTAAGGAGTCTTTCCACATAATCATGACTTTTTTTAACCCCATCTCTGGGTGCCATAACAAATGATGTACAGGAATGTGTATAGGAATATTATGAATTTTTTATTAATCTGTGGCTCATGTTCAGCTTAGACCAAAGTTTGGGAATATTTAACTTTCTTTTAAATGCGCGTCAAATGAACGTAATAATGCAATAAGAACTCCTAATTATTTATAGGTTTTTACATAATTAGCATCTAAATTCCAACACTCATTTTTAGTATTTCTCCCCCTTCTTCCTGCATATCAGTACTTCACCACTAAACCCCAAGCTTTTCAATAATTATTTAAAGAATTAATCATTTCTTGCACAATTTCATTTCGTCTGAAAGTAGCACAACGTCATCAGCGTACAAAAGCAGTCGCATATCATTTAAATATATTGAAAAACGGGTAGGAGACAACAAACAGCCTTGTTTGACCCCAGGCTGAGTATCAAAAAATTCGGAAGTGCCTCCTTCCCCCCCACTCAGCTGGACGTCCCATCATATAAATTTCTTAAAATATCTATAAAATTCGTAGATAACCCTATGATTGATAATTTATAGAACAATAAATTTCTTGGCAAGAAGTCGTAGGCTGACTTAAAATCTACGATATTTTGTTTCTTCTCCTCTAATTTTTGCTTAATTTCTTTATTGCTTTCTGTAAAAAATATACATTGAGCAAATAATATTATTATATAAAACACTGACAGACCTGTCAGTCCATGGGTAGAGAAACCAACCGGTGATGGAACTCACTTTTATTTAATTGGGTGGGTTAAGATAGAAGGACACGAGGCCATCGTCGCCTTAAACGGCGTGGTGGATTGTAAGAATGAAACGTCGAGGAAAGAGTTAGGGTAGTGGGTTAGGATGGAGGGATAGTTTAGAGTTGAAATTGAGGAAGCGTGTTCGAAAGTCACGACAGGGATTTTAAAATATTTATGGATCGTTTGATTGGTGTCGTAGAATGGAGCATTGAGGATACGGCGGTTAACGTTAGATTGAAAAGACTGGATTCACCCCTAATTTTAAATTAATTAGATTGACAAGCATGAAAATGTTATATACTGTTGAATAGTTGCTTTTGAAACCCTTTGGAACCCAGAAATAACATTAAAAGTATCAAGCCAGTTTACGAGTCTATTCATAAAAGCCCAGTGAACAACTTAGCTTCAACGTCAGTGAAAGAATTCTACATTTCTTCGGCCACAAAACCAGGCTTCTAAATGAAAGGAAAGGACCGTGTTAACTGAGGATCGGCCATCCCGCCTAACACATGCTTTTGGGTCAAAACCCTCGCATTCGTCCCGATTTTTGAGAAAGGTTGCTTACTGTGTCACAGCTGATCGAAGAGTCTTGACCCCTTACAGGGAGCGAGTAGGCGTAAGCCCTCACACAACCATGATACTCGGGTGAACGTGTCATATGTTGGTGACTGTTCCGTTTGTTAAAAAGAACTGGGGTGCTTCCTCACATTGTGACGTCGGTCCTTCGACGGCACGACAAACAAACATCCAACACTTCTTAACCGGGGATAATGATGGGTACTGGGAAATTAAAATGAAACAAATAAAACACACTCGCTAAAATAAACCAACTAAAACATAATGTATTACAAGACATAAATATATATATACAATATAAACCAAAGTTACTACAAACGAAACCAAGACGTTCCCTAATTCCAGTCTACAACCACGTTACAGTGTAATCGCCCAACTCACCCTGTGGTAACTCAATTAAGGTATTTTACGCTTAAGCAAACGTTGACGAGTCTGGAACACACCTGACCTCTCTTCTCCAGCTCCAGTCCAACATCTCCCCTCCTTCGACCATCCCCCACCCAGCATTCCAATGCGCCCCATTACACAAACAGTGACATCCTCAAAAAGTGAGGGTGACAACATATAGTGTGCATGTTTACTTATATATGCATATATTATTTATATAATATGTAATTTGTAAATAATTACATTATTGTGCATGTGGGATTAATGAGAGGGCCGATGACGGAATATCAAGTAGCCCAAGTACCCCATCGTTCATTATTAACTCAGTGAGGCTTAAATTACCACTGTTTTCACTGTTCGTTAAAAAAAGTTTTTTTTTTTAAACTGAGCTATCATTTTGAAACAAAATTAATACTATGTTCTATTTTTTACAATGTATTATTCTAAATAAATACCGAAACTGATTACTGATTTATATAAGCTCAACTCTGCGTACGCACGTGCTTACACACGTGTACAAAGTTTAACCTGTAGTTTCTTATGACGGCAAGGCCAAAGGAACAGTCAAGTTTACCATCCCGCAACCAAAGTTAGACTTCAGAGGCTGACAACAGTCTCGCCATACCATTCCTCAGTGGGTATGCATATACTGCTAAAAGGTAACCTTTTGCAAACCTTGTGCGTTATTTTGAATTTTCAGGACAAACGACTCAACAACCCCATCAACATAAGAAAATATTTATTAAGGTAATCATTGCAGTTGTAAATAACAAATAAAAGAAAAGACTTATAGTTCTTTTGTCTTTCTTTCTTCTGTAAATGAAATATTGTAAAAGTAATTCATAACCGCTTTTAGGAGTTACAATTTTATGTATAGAACATCAAGAATTAATGACAAATTAATGGATTTAAATAACAGTTTTTTGGACAGTCGTACGTTAGGTAGGAAAAGAACTAAATTTACGACTATAAGGCAGAAAATTTTATCTCGAACCAACATAAAATAGGATTTATGCAGATAGCCTCAAATACGAGGCCGGCTGTTTAATTAAATTTTGGTCGTAATTGAAAGTCCCTAACTGCATATCTGACCAATGTGCCAATGGAATTTAGACAGATAAACATTTATTACTAGGAGAATTCTGTCGGGTGGTTTTGAGACTTATCGCGAATTTAAGTTCAAAAAAGGAAGACTTTTTATTTGGTTTTAATTTGACTTACAATGGAAAAATAATGAAAAGTAAATAAATATAAATATTGCTACAACACATGCTACCTTTTCATTTATTAAATTTACTAGTTTTCGTGGTCCGCTTGACCAATTAATTACGGTTTTTTAATTGAGATAAAAAAGTCAGTGTCACGAACTTTTCATTTATAATCTATTTTCGATATTTTCACGGCGTTTTAGTGTTGGATATGGCCCAGGCTTTCGATGGGGTCCGGCACCCAGGCATTCTGTGTAAATTAAAACGATTCCTTACCACCTTACACTGAAATCCTAATTAACTGACCGCTGTTTCAGAAGTGGCACAGCAACGAACACTCGAGCCGGTGTCCCACAAGGGAACATTCTTAGCCCCATCTTGTTTACTATTTATACTGCTAACATCATTACTCCGTATCGGGATGACACCGTAATTACGCCATCTTCTTCCAGAGTAGAACCTTGAACTTATTAAAAAGCAAAAAGTTTAAAACAAATCTGAATGAAGAAAAATGCGGTGTACATTTACATTGAGAAGACAGCCTATTGCCTTTCATCAAATAACAAAGAGCTTCCGACTTCCACCCAAGTCAGATACTTAGTACTATACCTAGCCAGCTGTCGTGGAATAAACTTAAGAGACAACTTAACAGAAGACTTTTAGGATCGAAATCCTAAAAACTGCGACCACTTACGACACCAAGTGGAACTGAGAGACGCCAAGCCATCCGTATGAAGCACTTCAAATCTTTTCAATCAGTTTTCAGCTAAATTGTCAAAGCTCGCTACAACATCACCAACCTCACATTCTACATGGCTTAAACATTTCTTTTGTCTACGAACTGATTTGATCCCGATTCCACTCTAAGCACTCGATATATCCATGCCTTATATATAAATTCCCATCCTGAGAACTCGCCATGTCCTCTTATACGACGATGACCTCGATTCTCTTCGAAACCTAATCCGTCATACTGAGTTAACATATGTCCTCAGGGTGCAAATATACAAGCTAAAAATAAATACAAATTCACGACAATTTGGAATATTATGTTTTTGCAGCTTAAAAGTTGTTTTGTTTCCGTCAAGAATTGAAGAATAAAACGTACCATCAAAAAACAAAAATATTTGCTGAAATCATGGGTTAATTTGTGAAAAAACAAAATGTATGTATAATATACTGAGGAGTAAAATTCACGTAAAAGTAATTGTTAAGATGTTTAGTCCCATTGAGTTAATAATGTTTAATAAATGTAATTATTACAGTCAAACAACGTATTTCTGGCCACTTATGACAATTACTGGTACAACGAAAGCCCAAAGAGCAGAAAAGAGCTTTCTATCATGATGTTGGTCGCGAGAAGACCTTTACATTTACACTTCAGGCATGTCGTAAGGTTCACTTACGAAACGTATCTTAGTGTAAGTTAAATTTTTTATCGCTTACTATCATGAAATATATATATATATATACAGGGTGAATTGCTACTCGTGCTACANTAGATTTTCAGAGAAATGTTTAGATTAAAAGATATCACGATTTTCCGACGCCAGGACGTGATATCTTTCAAAATCGATAAAAAGCGAAATTACTCTGAAATGGTTGAGAATCGGACCATGGACAATATGAACTTTTTTGTTCATTTTAGGGTGAAGAATCTACTGGAGAAGTTTGTAGCACGAGTAGCAATTCACCCTGTATATATATATATATATATATATATATATATATATATTTTATTAATGGCGACTGAATGTTTTTTTTCAGATTTTACAAACTTCCTATTCTTACATGGCAGTACTGAGGACAATGGAGAGGTCTTAAATATATGAAAATTTTCGAAAATATTTCTTTCTTGTTGTTAGACTTAGTTAAGACTTTGCATTAAATTTTTAATAACTTGTTCTGCCTAGATTAGTAATATTTTATGCATTTGGATATAGTTTTAACTGCATTCGTATGCAGTGCTTGAAATTTTTCCTGTAGGTATATGCTAACATTTTCTTGGCGTGTTATATCAATGGTTGTGGACTAAACAATTGGCTTGTTTATTAGTTTATAGTCATTATCTTTTTGCATATGTACACATCCCTTAAAGTTATAGACATAAATAAACAAAATGTAATAAATCCAAGAGGCTTTTAAGAACGGCAGACTAAATTTAATCTCCTCCTATAGGTTTTATTTCGTATTTTAAATGATATTACAAAATATTCCGTTGTTTTAAATGATAATAACAATAGTATATTGAAAAAACTAATAATCACACGTAGTACAAAAGAAGATGTAGATGTATTAGTCGGGGTGTAATAAATATGCCGTATATGCCCACTATTTTTTTTTTTTTTTTGAGGAATTTCGAAATTATCTTTTAGGTAGATTTTCTTTTTCACCCCTTTTAACAAAAAATTTTTTAAAAAATATAGCTAGGCATTTAGTATGCAAATCGGACCACGAAATTAGTGAATTTTTTTACAGTCCTGTCCTCTGGCTTTCTTTCCACATGGCTAATCCATGCGAGGCAGCTTGCTTTTGTTTCAGCCATAATATTTGGTTTTTAGTACAAAACTTTCAACTTCTCGTTTGTTTGAGTTCGCTGGTGGCCATCCATGTAAATTGTGCCATAGATCTAACGGAGCACTTTTCTTTCCAAATATCTCAAAAAATCTTTGTCGCATAATGGTCCACGTTTCCCAGCTGGATTCACTATCGTTCGATTTACTCTTAATTTTTTTTTTTTTTTTTTTTTTTTTTGACTTTTATTTATATCTACAACTGTACATGCATGATATACAACCAGCAGATTGGATTTCAGACTGTGTGTTTGGCATTATGGGCGTTATAGAGAAAGCTACCCATTGGCAGCCGCTCTGGATTAATGAAATTATATTAATCATTTAAGAGGTCTCTTATCCATATTCTTTTCAGACGTTTACGTGGTAATTGTGGGGAATGGAGTAATTGTATTTGTGTGTTGGTGTGATTTTGTAATTTACTATGAAAACGTCTGTAATATGTTTTGATGGATGAAAAAACTGTTGGGATTTGAAGATCTCTGTGAAGTGTATTATTGTTTACATAAAATGGGGCAGAAACAATTAGTCTTAAAATTTTGGATTGAAAACTTTGTAATCTTTGAATATTGGAATACTTGGCCGATCCATATACTTGGCACCCATACATCCAAATTGGTTTGAGTAGGTATGACTATTAAATAACCATAACTTTTTGTGTCAGAAATTCTTTATTTATTTAACTGAAATTTCATCCAAATGAAACAACACTAGTCTCATCACATTTCGCTAATCGCGACTAGTAGTGTAATCATTATGGTAGATCCTGCAAAAGGCGTAAGTACACTTGATTCTACAGGCTTCAGAGTGACATTAATCTACAGAGTAACATGCCTTTAGGAGATACTACATCAGCAAATGTGTTTAACACAGATACTTAGATGAATGATGACCGGGTTGATTCATAAGTGAAACGAGGGTGTCTAGAATGTACAAAAATAAATAAACAGTATGTACTGTTTTATGCCATTTTATTAATTAATTAATTGATGTACAGACTAAAGTATCTCCTTTAAGAGGTATATACTCAAGAGAAATTCTTTTAATATTTAAAGGAAAGAAGAATAAGGGTGTCAATGTATCTCGTAGACACTGGAGACGGCGAGCTCGGGTTTGTCGTATCCAAGTGCCTCGGGAGTGTCGACGCCTAGTTCGTCGAGTGTGGGCTTCAACTCCTGGAGAAGGTAAGAGTAGATGTCAGGTCTGGCGACGGTTTTGAACTTGAGAGCCTCGAGGAACCTGACGGCGTGGGCGTAGTCGTTGACTTTTGAAAATGCGAAAGGTGGATTGAGATGGGAAGTTAGTGTCCGATTGGATCGAAGTCACGATAGCTCAAGTGGTAGAGCAGTGGCGAATTTAGCCGAAGATCGAGGGTTCGAATCTCTCTCGTTACACTAACTTTTTTATCTCAACCAATACCTTACATAAAGATTAATTAATTGAAAAATTTATCATTATCATCAATTATCATTTTTGAAAAATTAATGGTAAAGGAGGAAACATTCCAATTTTACCCTCCAATAATTTGTACCTGGAGGTTTTTTTCTTCGATTAATAAAAATATTTTAACCTCCTTTACTACATTGCTCGATCAAAAATAATTATTCATTGAATTTCAAGAGGTAGCTCCAATTTGCTCGCCTGCAGATTAAGTACTTTCGTGTTTTTGCAAAGGTGGTTTTCTTCTTTTTTGACTGTATGCTTTCTTTTATTTAGAATTCGTGCTTTGATTTTCTCAGTGCTTTTTACATTCCTTATTTAACGTTCGGTAGGGAAGGCCTTTTCGAGTTCCTCGTGCCCGTCCTAAGCAATTTGGCAGTTTTTCTATCCTTTCTCTTCTTAGAGAAGCTCTGAGTGCAATAAAGTTTAATAAAGCACGAATCCCAAAAGAAAATATTCTGTTCCTTCGCGCAATATATTTCCTTCATCAGAATTTTAATTAATAATTATAAAATCGTGACAATTATGAACAATTTTGACTTCAAGTAAAATGAAACTAAGTATCGAGATGATGCAATCCCGGGACGATTAAAGGTGAATTCATAAATAATTTTGTTTCGTCAAAAAACAGATCTTTTTATTCGACTGAATCTTTCACAATAATTTAAAACAAGTCAAATGTTTTAATTAATGGATTGTTGATATTTTGGAGTTTGAAGCTTTTCATTAAAAAATTGGATGTATTTTTAATTTGCCTATCCCAACCTTTTTTCTAATAGTACAAGAGGAATGTAATTTGTTTGAAATTAGGAATATTCCATCGGACACCTCTAATTTCAAATAGCAATCACCTACTATATTTTCTCATGCGTTGTGCACTCTTGAAAAGGTTAATTGAAGTGATAAAGACCGAAGAAAGGCAAAATGGGAAGATTAAAGGTAATTACTTCTGCGGTTAAACGTCCTTTAATTCATTCCTCACCCCCCATTTTATCCTCCAGGGGCGAGATCCTATTTAGAGGACTTGTAATCCCCTCGCTATCGAGAAATTAAAAGGAAAACGGAAAAGCAGCGAGCGAATTGGTGAAATTCGGACTCGGAAAAATCCATCTGTTCGAAAACGAGCAGTTGCAAATCTATATAAAAATATATCACTTAATTTAACGTGTGGTGATTAGTGACCTTTAATCGATATTTATTTAGAAATCGTGAGATGCGGTCTGGTGTGAAGTAGGTTTCAGAAAAACATTTTCTTTATCGTGCCAACGTTTCAATCTTTATTGAGATCATCTTCAGGGCTCAAAGTGACGACACTCTCGACACGACACGCAAGAATGGCACAATTACACAGAAGACAAACACTTTGAGCCCTGAAGATGATCTCAATAAAGATCGAAACGTTGGCACGATGAAGAAAATGTTTTTCTGAAACCAACATCACACCAGACAGCATCTCACGATTTCTGAATAAATACTTAATTTAACATTATTTAAAGAATCTTTAAGAAGGTAATAAATAATATTCATGAACTGAACAGCACTAGGTAAAATAGAATTACTTCACCTGATAACAATCTACTGGAAATTAAATAATTTATAAGCAATGGTTTTTCAAATAATCCCATCTAATGTTTATTTACATTTTATGAATAAATAAAACTTAAAAAAGAGCTTTTTCAAGGGCCTTCGACTAAAAGAATCACTGTGAGGAGTGGTACGTTCTAATTTTTCTTCCATCATCAACAAAGCATTAGCTGAGTACAAATAATTCACATGCAATTTTTTTCTTTTTTTCTTGGCAACCGTAACGTACAACTTCATCTCGTTAGGAACTCAGAGAAACCCGACCCAACAAAGATCTTGAAAATGATATCTAAATAATTTATATAAATAAATAAAATCGCTCTTATTTTAAATTATTTGCTGTGTAAATGATATCACGAGTGATTAATTAACGGCAGGGAATTATATTTTATATTACCTGTAGGTCTAATATGCGCAGATGTAATATGCTATGTGTACAGGGTGTTAATGAGTCGGACTGTCCTAATTGTTTAATTGACTATATCATGCGTCCTACAATACTACAAGTTTTTATTTTTTTTATTTTTTCGAACAGTTTATTTTATTTTCGGCTGAGACACCTTCTTTATATTTTGTTCCACTTTCCAAGTCACCTGAGGATGCGGAACGCGACGTAGATTCACCCCTCGTTTAATTAAGAGTACATCAAACACTCGATTCAGCACCTGAGTAAACCTGAAAGGAATCTGAAAAGTGATCGAAATAGCTTGTAAGCAAATGACTCCAATTCGATGTATCCCATTTTTACCCAAAATACTAAAATTTCTTGAGGAATTCAATCCAAAACTGCATGGATAACATATATTTTTCCCCAAAAATAATCTCCCTTTAAATTGTATTTCTCTTAATAGGTAACGTAGCAATGCCAGCATAGAAATTAAGCACACTTTATTGAGCTTCAGATTCTTAACCAATAGATTTTCGTGGCCATAAATACAACTATACAACGCAAGGGATGTATATTCCCCAGGGGTGCGTTAACTAAGATTAGGGTTTCGAGTTCCGACTACTTTACTTGAAAATGCTTCTAAATTAATACGAGACGTGAGAAGATTATATATATATATATATATATATATATATTGTCTCAAGATGACGAAACTCCACGGCTTCCTGACTTGTTTCTGTTCTGCCCTTAACTTGACCCGACAAGTTTTTGAACGTTCCAATAATAATAGGCCGTGAAATAATTTCACAAAAGTTTCAAATGATAATAACCGAAAAACATTGCACCCTCACTAGTTCAAAATGCCTTAACTAAGAGATTGCGACTGACCAGCAAAATGTATTTTGTACTACACAGCACGTTTCTCCTTGATCAATTGTAGCTCTGCAAAATAATCCTACTGACGAAGTTACTGTCAAAGATAAGAATTCTCAAGAACTTTTTGTCACTCCCTCCGATTGATATCTTTGATTTCAACCCCTTTCCGAAAATAACTTTTGTAGAGAAGGCAGCAAGCCGCAATTAAATTTTGATGTTGCTAGCTTAACCTCTCAAGATAAATTACAATTAATTAAGAATTTTAGTTGAGATGAAAAAAAGTTAATGGCACTAGCGGGATTCGAACCCACGATCTTCGACTTG